CAGGAAGCATAAGGCATGTGGGGGGAAGTTTTTGCTGTTTGTGTTCATATGCTGAGACTACATTGCATGTTCACATTCACATTATTATTATATTTAGAGTAAATAAGCGTCTATGCAATTATATCCAAAATCATTATTCTAAACCACTACAGCTGAGTAGCACAGAGCTGCACAAAAAGAGCACCACCTTTCTGGTGTTCTAGAACAGGGGAAGAGACCATTTTCATAGACAGAATCTTTTGATGTTTTACCCTATAGAAATACCCTCTGGTGTGTTTTGTTGGGGATTTTTTTAATGTCACTGTGGGAGTACGTGCCTGGGAGAAAATAATGACTCTTAAGATGATTAACATGTTATTAAACTCTGGGATAATCACTGTCCTGTCAAGTGTCAGCTCATGCATTTCATCAGCCCCATGTGACAGTGCTGGACTGCTTATTGCTTTCTTTTATCTAAGAAGAGTATTTTTCATGATCAGCTGCTGAATGTGACCCCTTTGGAACTGCAAATAGCATAAAGAAAACAAAAGTTGGTAAACATTACTAAGTCACCCAAAAAAATAATCAACTGTTTTTTACCAGTTGAAGTAAGCCTAAGCTGACTCCTCATGTGGCAACGTATGGGTGGGACTGGTAACAGTGAACAGCTGGGGCATAACAAAGTGTGAACTTTGCAAGAAATACAGATAATTCTGCTTTTCAGACTGGCTGATGAGTCACATACAAGCACCTGCATGATCACTGATCCTGACACTCCTGTCACGCTCACCTTCTCTTCCACTCTCAGGTGGCCTTTGCTGCTCTTGCCTTGTCACTGTTCTGATTTCATGCATCTGAGTAACTGGGTTAACTCTGCTTGGTTTGGGACTTCCAAATAAAAATAAGTGAAGGCATGTAATAATTGCCTTCCAAGGCCCAAAATGTTGCATGGTCAACAATTAAAATCAAACTTTGGTTTCTAAGCAATGGTGTATTTTACCCCAATGGAGGAGTGAGACCAAAGGCAGATAAAGACATCATGTGAAGTGGTACATTCAAACTACAGTTCACCTGCTGAGTGACTTTGATTTCTACCACCCTGCTGCTGCCTCTTTTCAGCTGTGAGAGCCACTGTACAAGAGAACAGTGGCTTTCTCCACTGAAAAATTCATTTGTTTTGTTTTTTGGGTTTTGCCAGGGAGCCAGCATTTAATCACTAAGATGTGTCATGCTGCTAAGCTGTGTGACAGCTTGATGCACTGAGGGATGCTCCCCACTGAAAATGTAAACAATTTATGCTGTGTATTTTTCCACCTAAAGAATCTACAGATTTTTGCTAATAATGGCTTTCTTTTTTTCCTGTTACAAAGCAGTGTCTGCATTATTTGCAATTACAAAAAAGTGTCTGCATTTCCATTCAGGCATTGGTGAAGCTAAACAGCTCTTGTTCTCTTACTTTACAATATATTTATTTTTCTCTATGATCATTAATTTAAAATACAAAGTAATAATATGCTTACTTTGGGAAAAAAAAAGGGGGGGATTTTTATATCAGACTAGCCAGGCTACTGTTTTCTCCTCTTTCTGGCTTCTAACACAGCTATTATAGACCAAAATGACTGTTTCATCTCTCACTTGTGTGAGGTGCAGTTTCTGAAGTTGAATACAGAGGGTTATGGTCCATTTTAGGCACCAGCAGGAGCTAATGCTCAGAGCCTGCCATTACATCTTAGAGTTCCACAATAGCCCTTGCTATGTTTTGATACATTCATTTGGTCTCACTGAAAATATTGTGTATTCTTCTCTACTTTCCCCTGTCCTTTCCCTGTCATGTATCCTCCCTTTACATCCAGCTCTTGGTAGAGTGAAGTTTTTTGACAACACTTTGCCACAGCTGATTAGTCTCTGACCACCTAACCCTGTAAATCATCCTTACAAGAAGGCACTTCTAGCTCTGGGTAGGGAAAGATTCCTTTTATCTGAGCACTCAATGCCAAAATAACCCTCATAAAAACGCTTCCCCATTTTTGAAATTTCCAAACCTCTTCTGGACTGCAGGAATCAGATCTCTCTCTGGATGCTGAAATTTATTTAAATTAACCAATTATGAAGAAAAGCTGCACTTCATATTTTTTAGAAGTACTTTGAGATCACTCCCAACACAAGGCAGGCTTTTCCATCTTTAAAGAAATGAAGTGCTAAATTTGCATGATGAGATTACAAACCAGGTTAGAGAACTAAAAAATAAAAAGTAATAGCAGGTAGCATTAAGGACCTGACAATTACCTGTTTTCCTGACTGTCATTAGAATTTCTCAGAGGCACATTCTGGCAGTGGGGGCTAACTGAGCACTTCAACCATACCAGCCTGAAGTGTCACTTTTCAGGACCAACCTTTTCCTGGGCTATTAACCTTCTGTTTAAACTTTCAATTGCACATGTGCTATCTGGTGCTACCCAAGCTTTACAGCATTTTTGAAAGTGCTACATCATTTCCTTGAAGCTTCTCAACTAAGGAAACATTTTATTGGAGCTTTGATTAACCCCACTGTCACTGAAGATACAGATTAGAACTCCAGTAGCCTGAATTGTGCTTACAAGGATTTTGTTGATGTCTTTTTATAGACAGTATGCTGACATTTTGTACAGATGGAAAAATCTGGATTTCTTTCTCCCACTTACTGTTCTCCTACACACATACACACAGTCTCCCATGTATATATTTACCAGTTGTAGGAGGATCAGATCATCACAATTACAAGAGGGGAGTTTTAGACATCAGTGGTTTAGATTTGTATGTTTATTTCTCACTCCCAATCAAATCAGCACAGAGTTACATCTGTAATTAGTTGTGACAGCAAACAATTCCATTTACATATGTGAAAAATTAATTTGTGGTATACTAATTATCATCCATTCTTGGGCCAGAATCACAAACGTATTTACATGCCTAACTTATGGGTTTTTTATACCTTCTTAGGTATATTCTATTATTTTAGCTGCCAATATCTTTAAAAATGCAATTTGGTATCAATGTCATAAAATGTGCTACAAAAGAGAAATGCATGGAATGCATAACTTGCATTTCAGGTTGTCTCTCTATTTGATTTGGGACACAGTATTGGAGGTTGGGGTTTTCTGATTTGGTTTGGGGTGTTTTGTAAGAGAGCAGTTCTAGCCCTTGCTGTACTTTTGGCAGGGGTCCATTTCTTCTGCTACAAGTCATGGCCATCACCTGCACACATACACATCTTTATTTCACAGTAGTATTTATTTTTTTCACATTTCAAGCTACCTCCTCCTGTTTCTGCTTTTGACTTTCCTTTGTTTCAGAGCCTCTATTCCCTGTAATTATTTATTTTGTTCAACTGCCTTAATAAGGCAAGAATCAAGAGGAAATCAACAGCTGTATATTTCTTATATTCCAGAAGCTCCAGCCAAACCAGGTCTGGACTTTGACACTTGATTGCTCTGATTAAATCATAATTATAGACAGCAGGGAAAGCAAGTTTAGTTACCAATTTCTGTCTTTCATGCTTGACCTGAAACCTGCTGAAGTCAGTGGGAGTCCCCAAAGTTCCATCCAAAATCTCTCTGAGGCACAAAACTGCCCAATAATCCAGTGGCAGTTGTTTTTGTCTCAGCCTTTTTAATTTCTTCACTGAGCCAAAAGAACATCAGGCAACAGGTTTTACAGATTTAAAAAGTTTTATGATAGAAACAGGAAGCCTCTAACAATAAATTACAAACCTAAAGACAATTATTAAATTCAGAGCAGATATCTTTTTTTTCCCCCATGGCTTGTTAATTTACTTGCAAATCATTCCAGCTTTCGGGATTCAACACTGTGAGGAATTCACCAAATGTTTAAACAAACAAATATCATATATATACATCAGTTTGGCATTCCACTGTTCCATCTGGCCTCTGCTTTTGGTTGATAGGAAAAACAAACCTGATCTGTTGAGAGACTAATGAATATCTACTTATGGCTGTTACTTACTGGAATTATATCGACCAGATAATTCTGTAATTAACTTCTCTTTCTGTTTCTAAAAGTATTCCTTAATCACTGTATTTCTGAAAATTCTATTGAGATAAAAATTAATTGGAAATCATATCACACCAATTCATCTTATCATTTTTAATGAGAGATTCACCTGCTAAAGACAAAATTAATTTTGGTACATTTTATTTGTTTTCAAGGTATGCTTATGCATTAAATGGGAGCAAACATGAAGATAATTAATCTGTATTGTGAATTTGTATTGCCAACTGTTTAGCTCTTCATAAGTTAATTAAAGAAGTTTCAACTTTTTAGTTTTAGTGTAGTTTAAATAGTGACAAATTTAAAAGAAATGAGGAGGCTGCTAATTAGTTTGTGACGATGGTTACATGCCTGGTTCCTTGATAGCAATTGAGAAAACAACAGATTTTCGTACATTGCTTTTTAGGCAGTATTTATTGCACATGTTGCACAAATAGAATGTTAGAGCAATTGACCATGAGATACATAAATAAGCAGGTTGTTTTACCAGAAATAGAAGAAATCCAACTGATTTAGATCTTCAAAATATTTTTAGAGACTTCTTTGAACAACTTTTGAAAGTTCATACATGTTCTAAGACAGTTATAAAGATGCAAATTTCTGGAAAAATCATTTTACAGTGAAAACATGAATATTGCTCTGCTTCAAATGAGAGACTTAATAACAAAGAGAAGTTGCATGCTTAAAGATCTCTTTGTAGTGCTTGCAACCTTGAGGTCAAATATTCACACTTTATTTTGCTACACTCTGGAAATGCAATTTTGAGCTCTAAGTAGTGATCTACTCTGCTGACAGGAAAGTTTTGATGCTGCTTTAAGGTGCAATCACTCTAAAACTTGAAAACCAGGATGACTCTCCCATGCTATAAAGCAGGACGTGCTTGCTGGTGCCAGTCTGTGGAGTGTTAGAAGCTGGAAAACCCATGAAAACCTCACAAAAACCTGTCTGCTCAGCGTACCTGCTGTTGAGCCCCCATGTATCAGGAATTTGCTCTGCAGGCAGGATTTCTAGATGTATCACAAGCTGTACAGGTGGGTGTGTACATATTGTCTGTGTCATGATTGCTGCTAAGCTGCCTGTCTGGGGTTCCTGCCAAATAAGCAAACTTCCATTCAACACAGCCTGGCTTTCATATTTAGGGTAAAAAAAATGTCAAGGGCAGCGTTTCCTCCAGCAACTTTTTCCGTTTCACCTGAAGCCTCTGAGCACCTGTCACTGCTCTGCAGGCACAAAACGCTGCACTGGGTGCACAAGCTGAACTCACAGCGTACAAAGGCTCAGCAGTGCCACTGCCCGCAGCCTGACAGAAATCCACAGGACTCAGAGGGGGGTCTCCACTGACATTTCTTAACCATTATTTCCATTGTACTCCAGAAGGATCTAACTATTCATTCAGAGCCTGGGCAGTTTCCACAGTCTGTCTTTGCATATTTATAACTTGCAACTGACTATTCTTTGTCTACATGTTTTTAGAAATCTGAGAAGTACAAAAGTCCTTTTCACCAAAAACAGGTGCTGAGCACATTTCAGGTAAGTTTACATCACTGAAACCGTACTCTCTTACAGATCATGCCAAAACTGGACTGAACAATGAACTCATTACAAAGGGAATGCTTGAATGGCCATGACTTGGGTTGCTCCATCACTCTGAGTTTGGGGTTGTCTTCACACTTCTCCCATCATATTTGGTGATTATACCTGCAGACATCTTGTTTTCCTCACAGTAGAGCTATTAACTGGCTAGCAGTTATTCTGTGCTGAGGGTCCCTTCATCAGTCTTGAGCTTAAATAATACCTTGGATATTGGACAGTCTGCTGCTTCATAAATTAGCAAGCCTAAGCAGCAGGACTGCTTTTGGCAGAATTTTCCATAAGTCTAATGATACAGCTGGAAGTACAACTCCTCATGTTCATTCTCATTACTACTATTAGCTTCCTCCTTCTTAGCCCAAAAGACATATTGAGTTGAATATTTCACTCCCATTTGCAACAGGCATTTGAAGATAAATGTGCCCAAAATTTTCAGAGAATAATACGTCGACATGTATGATCTTGGAGAATTGAATCTTTTTGTCAGTGATAAAATTTGACTCTGGGCACAAAATCCTTTCCTGCGTGAGATTTTCTTGTAAGTTTCAGTGACATTGGATACTTGGAAACATTTGAGAAGCAGCTTGACCTTGTTGCATTCAAGCTGTGCTCACTGGATTTGTTTAGTATTTAGAAAATCTGTTTAGTATTTCACATACCCACTTTGAAGTTCTATCCTGCCTACCAGTGTTTGGGTTGTTCAGGGGCAGTATCCCTGTGAGTTTGACCCTGGATTCAAGGCCGGCATGGTGTAAATTCATCATCTTTTTACTGTGGGGGTTAAAGGTTGCAGGATGGATTTTGTGAGCTGCCTTTTAGCATGCACTGACCTGAACTGTCGGAAGATCTACATCGAGGGTGCTCAGACACACCTGGTCTAAATGCATCGGGAGTGTTCCTCCTCCAGAAGGATGAGATGTTGACTTACATCGCTTTCTCCTGCTGAATCAGGACACTCCTGCCCACCCTGTTTACTTAGCAGAGAGAGGATCAGGCACTACTCATCCAGGCAGTTCGTAAATCAATGGAACAGAGGATTAACAGCATATGGAGCATGCCCCATCCTCAGGCCTGGCATCTCCTGAGCAAGGTATATAGCCCTGGCTTTACTCCAAACTCTTCCATTTATCTTTATTCCTGTCTGAATTGTGGTGGCTGCTATTCTCTTTTATCAAAAAAATTTCCTATTGGGCAGCTAAAATAAAGCAAGCAAAGAATGAAAAGTAAAGCACAAAACTTCCACCACTGAAAAGATGGAAAGATATTTTTAAAATCGTAGTGAATATCCAGGAAGTATCCTGTGAGAGAAAAGGATGCAAAAGCTTATGCATGCCCTGGATGAGATGGAACAATGTACAATATGTCAGTCTTACATTAGTTCCCAGTTTATTACTATAGCCTGAACAACAGAATCAAAAATTACAAGTTAACAGTCACATACTCTGCTCTCGCAAAGCTGTTTCTGAAGCTGGAATTATTTGGGGTAATTTAGTTTGCTTGATTAAGATAATTTTAGGATGTGATTGGCCCAGATAAAGAATGCATCACTTTAAATATGAAGCTAGCCCTCATGTTCAGGGGCAACTAATCTACCTTTTGTGTATTAATGTGTCATAAATTACTGAATTTCCCGAAATGTAGTTGACTTTATACAAAGAAGAAAACTTCTGTAAGTGTAATTTGTTGTAGGTGGTTGTGCTTTCACAGTGATTTTTTTCTGCAGTTTTAAGTCCAGAAGTTGTAACACACTGTAAGTCTTTACTCATAATGTCTAATTTCTTGTACATTGCGTGTGTGTATCTGCATATGAGACTGGAGAAATGCTTACACAAGCAGAGTTCATGCTTTAAACAACTTTTTTTTTTTTTTTTTAGCTCTTGTATTTGCTAAGCAACACCAATTAACTCTTACTCAAAATACCATTCCCTCAAATAAAACTGCTGCTATTTGCAGTTGTGCCACATGGCTCAGGACACTGCACTTGCCACATAACTCATCCACGAAAGGCTCCTGCTTGCACTGGATCCATGTAGGTGCATTAAATGTCCCATGTCAACCTGTGTCTAATCAGTCTTAATGTCTAGAAATTTCCATCTGCTGTTAACGGTGTTTCCCCACCATGGTAACCAGCAATCTGAGAGCACACCTGGTCTCATACAGATCAGGAAGGCTTTAAATCAAAATCTTGGCAGCTGTTTGGTACATAGTAAGCATTGTGCCTCCTTTATCTTATTTTATATTAAAACAGGGTGACATGAAATGAAACTAAAATATGCATTTGCCCTTCCAGTGTCTTCCCCAAGTCTGCCACACCAGTGATATCCCTGCTGGCTTTGAACCGAGCTTCTGAGACCAGAGCCTTTGATATGATCCTTGCCCTCTCAGTCATGCTGCTTCCTAGAGGAGTCCGTGTCCCTGATCTGCTGACAGCCACATTGCTATTTTTTCTTCAGTATTGTACTGAAGGGAGAAGTGACATTATGCTGTTTGCAGTGGGTTTTCTCCCCCACCCACCTCCCCTTTTAAAATTAATTATTAACTGCTATGCCAGGGACAAATTATTCTGGGGAGCTGAAAAATTGTGATCCTTCTAATAGGCTTGGGTTATTTCCAGCTGGTTTTAAGCACCTTTCTCCATTAGCTGGAGAGGTGATTAGCATGAAGAGCCTCCTGAGTGAAGTGTCATTTTAGCATCGAAAGTTAGCTCTGAGGAGCAGGGCGGCCGAGCCCGGCGCCAGGCCCGTGGCTGTGCCCTCGCCTTCTCCCGAGGGAATCCCGCATTCCCTGTTCCAGTAAAGCCAGGACGTCCCTGCCCGCACACGGTGTCACCTGTGGGCTGTGCCGAGGGGACCCTGGCCAGGCACAGAGCAAGGAAAGGGGATTAGAAGCACTGCGGAGCTGAGCCCCAGCCCCGCGCCGCTGCCTCACGCCCTCTCCTTTACTCACAGGATCACAGAACCAGTTGGGTTGGAAAAGATTTCTGAGATTATCGAGTCCGACCTGTGGCCCAACACCACCTTGTCAATCAGACCACAGAACCAAGTGCCACCTCCAATCTTTTCGTAAACATGACACCACCACCGCCCTGGTCAGCCCGTTCTGATGTCTAATCACCCTTCCTATGAAGAAATTCTCCCAAATGTCCAACCTAAACCTCCCCTGGAGAGCTGAAGCCATTCCCCTCGTCCTGTCCCTTGTTCCCTGGGAGCAGAGCATGACCCCACCTGGCCACACCCTCCTGTCAGGGAGTGGCAGACAGTGAAAAGCTCCCCCAGCCTCCTTTTCTCCAGCTGAGCTCCCCCAGCTCCCTCAGCAGCTCCTCAGTGCGCTTGTGCCCAGCCTCTGGCCCAGCTCCGTTTCCATTCTCTGCACTCGACTGCCGTAACTCGGTGCCGGCACGGCAGCGCTGCCCGAGCTCCTCCGAGACCACCCGTGCTGTTCCAGGGTCGCTCCAGACAGCGCTCGGAGAACGTAGCGGTGCCGGACCCGCCACACCCCCGGTTCGGACCCGTGACACCCCCGGTTCGGGCCCGTGACACCCCCGGTTCGGACCCGCGACATCCCCGGTTCGGGCTCGTGACATGCCCAGTTCGGGCCCGTGACATCCCCGGTTCGTGCCCCGCTCTGGGCGCTCCTGGCCGGGGCCGGCGGGGGGGCAGCGCCCCCTCCTGGCAGCGCCGCCGCGGGCACTGCCTGCACGGGCCGCCGCCGAGCCGGACAGGATTCCCGCTGGGAAAACCTGTGTAATTTTTGCCGTGTACTTTAATTATTCTCTCTTTAATGACTCTCTGTTTATAAACTAGAGACGGGTCCGCGAATAGGGCGGGCAGCGCCGCCGCCGCTCACCGCGGTCCTCCCGCTCGCCGGGGGCGCTGCGGCCGCCCGGTCCCGCCCTGTCGCCGTTGCCCGAGCGGCGGTTCCCGTTCCGGGCGAGGCGGCGGCGGTGGCGCCGGGATGGATCGGGAGCTGCTCCGGCAGGCGCTGAACCACCACGGTCCCGCGCTGCTGTCGCTGCTCCGCGCCGAGCAGCACGACAACCCCGACTTCCGCGGGCTGCTGCCGCCGCCCGGGGCCGCCCCGGAGCCGCCTCGCGGGGCCCCGCCGGCCGCCTGGTGAGGGGCGCCGGGGCAGCGGCCGGGCGGGCCGTGAGGGGCCGCGGGGCGCGACTCACCGCGTTCTCCTTCCCCCAGGAAAGAGAGGGCGAGCATCGACACCGAGATAAAGCGCTTCATCGCCAAGAAGGCGGATCTGCTGTTCGCGCACTCGTGGAAACCCAATGGGCCGATCGAGGACACCATCGAGGAGAATGAGGGTGTGTGAGTTGGGGGCGCGTCACTTTATAAGGACCGCGCTTGAATTTACGGTGTCTTTAAAAGCAGGCTTCAAATTTTTCCTGTTGATTTTTATGGGCAATACATAAGCTTCCTGTTAACACAAAAATCATTCACGTGTTTTGCTGTCGTGAAATATTTTGTGATCTCAGGATGTAGCTTGGCCATTTGTAACTGGCTGTGCCCTTGTTGCAGGGTGTTACGCTGTCATGCCACCCCTGGAGAGGTTCTTGGAGGTGCCCAGGGAGGAGAGGAGAGAGCTGTTCTTCCGTGACATTGAGCGTGGCGATATCGTGATTGGGAGGATTACCTCTATCCGTGAATTTGGCTTTTTCATGGTGTTGATTTGTCTGGGAAGTGGTGTCATACGGGAAATTGCAGATTTGGAAATCACTGTAAGATACAGCTTTGGTCAATACTTCATTTTTGACATCATTTTGTTGTCTCTTGCATCTCTAATGGAGTGGAATGTGTAAAGGTGAAACAGCTTTGGGATGGTGGGTAGTGCTTGATTTTGTGGGCAGCTTGAAATAGTTTGCTCAGCCAGTGAACATGTCTTGCTGTCACCCACATTATTGGCTTGAAAAGGTCATCATTTGTGGGCTTACGAATTTTTACTTGAACCAAGCCATGTTTTAAGAATTGCAGTTCTGATGTGCATTAAGCTTAAAATAATCTTTTTTGGCTTGGTCTTGGGGAAGAAAAAAACGCCAACCCTATGGCTTCATTTATGACATTCCTGTTCTGTTCTGTTTCAGGCCCTGTGTCCTGTGAGGGATGTGCCTCCTCAAAGCAACCATGGAGATCCTCTGTCTTACTATCAGACAGGTGATCTTATTCGAGGTGAGTAGCTGCAGAAGTTGTCAGGAATTAGTTTGTCTCGGGCTTGAGCCATTTCTGTAATTTTATCCTTACCTGTATTGTTTCTGCAGCTGCGCTCAAGGATGTTGACCGTTACCACGAGAAGCTGGCGGTGTCGCTTTACAGCTCAGCTCTTCCACCCAACCTTTCCAGTACAAAACTGGGCGTGATCACCTCTGATGACTTCCCACTGCATTATAAGTAAGGATGTGCTGTTTGGCTGCATTTGCTGGGTGCAGTCAGGGTGTCTGAAGAGCATCTCTGACAGGCTGGCTGTCCCTTACACTCCTCAGTGGGCTTTCTGATTTAATTGGGTGATCACGTCCTCCTTGTTGTTCCTCTCTTTAGCATACTTGTGTCTGGATATGTAGGTGTGGTTGGCTTTTTAGCTTCTTTCCAAAAATAAAAGGAAAGCAAAAGGCAAGGTGAGATATCTGTTGTTCCTTTTGGACTGTGTTAAAAATTAAAAAAACCCTCAAAACTTTGGGGGACTGGAATATGAATTCTTAGCATTTTAAAATTCCCCTTAGAAAATGGGGACACAGTTGTCTGTAACATTTGTAGTGTTTTTGCATGTCCTGGAGATACAGGGTGGGTGCCCAGATAGGTTTCTCACTTGGGTAAAGGACAGGAGGGTTGGTCAATAGCAAGGAAATACATGCCTGTAGAAGAGGACAGTCTGTGAGCAGTAATACAGATACCATACAGGCATTTTTATTCTAAACATAAGCATGATGAAGTAGGGTACAGAGCCTGAGGTCTCATTTGTGTACATTGGTGCTGTTTTTAAGGCGAAGCCTGGAAGTTGCCAGCACAGGAGAGACATTCGAAGAGGTTTTGCATCGTTCCCCAGGATTCGCTAATCCATCATTAGTTGAATATTTAGCAGAAAAACTGGGACTAAGTGAGTCAAATCCACCGTCTTTGCTGAGAAGTCTTCAAATGTAAGTGATTTTTACATTGTTCCTCTCCTGTAGCTCTGTGGAGATTATTCTAATCCATTGAAATAGACTTGTGAGTGGGAGTCCTAGACCACTTAAACCTTTTACGTTTTCACTTGCATGACTGCAGCATACACATCCTTAAATATTTAAAACCAAACTCCTCTAGAGTAAGAAATTTGCATTTGAAATCCTATTGCTCTGAATAAGCAAGACACCTTACCACACACAATGTTTGATATCAGATACTTATGGAATTTATTGTGTAGCTCCTGTCATCATCTGTGGATTGAAATGCAGGATGTTTAGGTTTTAATGTCTTCCCACAGATGTTCATTCACAGTGTTTATTTTAGTAATAGGTTTGACCCCTTTTGTGATTGATGTTGTGACCCCTACGTATGTTAGGCCCAGAGCAGGTAGTGGGCTTTAGATGCTTTTGCTAAATGTACTCCAGTTTTACTGGTTCCGTTCAGCACATCTAGAATGGTTTGGGAAAAACTGGTTTCAGAAATATGAAAGAACAGACCTGACTAAGGGAGAGCAGTAAGGCATGAACAAATAATTTTTCGGCTTATTTCAACTGCACTGCATACTGTAACCTTAACCTTGTAGACTCAGACAGCCAGCTTGATGTTTTTATTTGTTTGTTCCTTAAAGCAAAAATTTTAATGAAGAAGATTTTGCCCCTGCCTTGAGGAAAAAGCAGTCCGCATCTTGGGCCTTGAAATGGTATGTGATACTTTTTCTTATCAAAGTTTGTTGTTAGATTGGGTTACAGATTCTATTTCTGCAGTTTTTCCTCTGTATGTGTAGCAATGTAACCAGGATCTTACTGAAAATAAACCTATATGCCAAGTGGGAATGTGACAGATAAAGTCCTGAGATTCAGTTCCAAAATCTGTGTCAGGTTTAAGGGAGTTGTTCTTAGAATATTTTTAATATCCTGACCCATTCTAGAGTTGAGAGCAAGATTTGTGATAACACAAAGCACACAATTTTCTGTTTTATAATTGAGTGTTGAATGACCTCATACTTGTCAAGTCATTTAAGCTTCAGACTGTAGATGTAACAAGTGCACTTGCTGTCTTTGCAGTTAAATGGAGCAGCAGCCCTGGATATTTACTTGTGCTTTTACACTATGCTTTGTATTTGCAATGTTGATTAATTGCAGAAAAGGTTGCTTATAATGTTAAATTAAATTTTAATTTTTAAGAAAAGTATGTAATGAATTGCTCTGAAAATCAACTTATATTGATTCTCTTCTAATAAGTTAATCTCTTGGAAAATGTGCAAGAAATGTTCAGGTAATATGAAATGTAAAATCTCAGGATATTTGTGTGAGATGAGCTGGTTTGAGTGTGTACCATCTGCCCATATCACCTTGTGCCATCACTCTAATGGGGATTTTTAGCTTTGGATATAATTAAGCCTGTTCAAGGTTAATGGTGGTAGGTCACACATAGTTTTGCGCAGGAAATTGTTTAAACAATTATTCCATAAATCAGAAACAATGTAATATAGTAGCACTGTGCAGAAATGCTCTTGAGTGCCTTAAGATACTGGATTAAAGACAATACGTTTTTGTGTAATTAGGTCAATATCACCTAACTGAAGTGCCAGTGTGAAGTACACAATAACAAGGTCAAGTTTTAACCTGTCTCTTGTTTGGAATCGTAATTTGTGAGTAACAGAACAATCTGCATAGACTAACAGTACATACTATTTTCTAAATATTTTTTTTCTCCAGTGTAAAGGCTGGGGTGGATTATTTTAAGGTTGGGCGACATGTGGAAGCCATGAATGAGTACAACAAGGCTTTGGAAATTGATCCACAAAATGTTGAAGCTTTGGTAGCACGTGGAGCTCTGTAAGTCTGCTTGTTTCATTTTTTTCTCCCTTTTGTGAAAGAGAAGCATCATATGTTTCATATACAACTTTCTGTTGCTCTAGGTATGCAACTAAAGGAAGTCTGAACAAAGCCATAGGGGATTTTGAAACCGCTTTAGAAAATTGCCCTACCCATAGAAATGCAAGAAAATACCTGTGTCAGACCCTTGTGGAAAGAGGCGGGCAGTAAGTGTTGGGGTTATGAGTTTGGTTGGTTGTTAACAAGTTTTCTCATAATATATTTTTTTAATACCATTCTAGTGAGGATGCAGAATGGCATCTTTCCTTCCTGGCTATGTGTTTAAAGAAAAATAAAAGTCCTTGGAAATAGCCATCCTTGTGTAATTGTGGTTTAGACTTGGTCCTCTGTCCCAGTTAAAATCCTGGAAAAATATTTGAGGTTTAATCCTCAGTATCCTTTTTAATCCTTGATACCCTTTCACTGGTAGGATATCAGGCTTGCATAAAGTCCTGTGAATTGTTTGAATATATTCCAAAAGGTTGAGGATTGTTTAGTTATTTTTTTTTAAAAGTTTTGAAACAAAATTATGTTCTGTTACTCTGCTGAAATATTGGTGACCCACTCTAACGCAAAATAATTTTAGTTTTGAATATTCAGGGAATAGGTTTCTTTTAACCCATGTGTTAAGAAGAGAGAGACAGTATTTTTGAAACTGGAATTGATATTTCAGAGAATAGTGTTACAGGTCAGAATTAGGAGATGATAAGGTGAGAAATACTGTTTTGTGTTGTTAGTGAGGTGAGCTGAGATGACAGAGAGGGTCTCAGAGGGATGCAGGGGTGGTGTCATAATGCAAATAACAAATACTTGCAAATAAGAAATAGCTGTCAAAATCTGTGTCCTAACTGTATGTGAATTATCACTTGAATTTTAGGTTGGAAGAGGAAGAGAAACTGCTTAATGCTGAAAGTTATTATAAAAAAGCTTTAAATTTGGATGAGACTTTTCAGGAAGCAGAAGAGGCCTTAACAAAACTCCGTAAGCACATGCAGGTGATTCTTTACTTTCTTTTCATATGGTGCTCTCGGTGACAATAAATAAACATCAGAAATCATATTAAGTCCTTTGAATAGAGAGGGGTTAAATTGATGGTTTGTCTTACTCTCTGCTTCCCGACTCCACAGTAAATGTTTTCTAGTGAGCATTATGGCTGTACCTACCAGAAGAAAGGTACCTCTTGGTGACTCCACTCTTTTGGGATAGTAAAGAAATGCCAGACAGTGGAGACAGGGAAAGAGTAAAGTAGGGATAAGAATATCCCATCACACAGTGTGATTAATAAGGTTAATTTAAAACATTCTGTGAATACAAATGTTCAAAGTGTAGAACACTTACCCCAGCCATATAAACATTGTTACCATAGTCTGGCCAGACCCTTGGTCCTTGGGGTACTTAGAGAAAGAGAGTAGCACCAGGCAAAGCTGAGGCACAGGGAGCTCACATGAGAGGGAAATGAAAATGGAATTGAAATGAAAACAGCAAGAGGTGGAGGGTGGGCGGGCAGACAGTTTGAATATCTCAGCTTTCTCCTCCGCTGTCTGGTGGTTTTTCTCTCTTCCCTTGCACGCAGCATGTTTCCCAGGTGAGCCTGCTGGGTCTCTGTGCTAATCTGAGTTGTCATCTTTTCCCTTTTATTTACCTCCTTTGCTTGTGTTGTCTTCCAGAGTGGGTCAAAAAGTAGAGCAATGAGGAACAGGCTTGTGTTGTTCTGTGCTTCTGCATGTGAGGATGTACACAGGCTGGGGTAGAGGGCCTTAGTCAGCAGTTCTTCAGTTGGTGGAGCCATAATGCTGACAGGATGTGTGGAAACAAGGGGGAAGAGGAGATAGGACAATCTGATAAAACTGAGCTACACCAGAGATAAAGAGGTGCACGTTATTTGAGCAGTATCTGCATTTGGCTGCTTTAGAAAGAGGTGTCAGTTAAAATGATGAAGAATATTCTCATCAAGTAGGAGATAAATGTTATTCCTTTGACATTCTCCTGTAGTCATTGATGCAGCAGATAAAGAATATGACAGCTGTTGTTTGTTGCTATGCATGGCCTTGGCTGCATTGAAGGCTTTTCTTTCTTATAGCTGTTAAGACAGTTGCTGAGTTTTGAAAACTAATCAGACTTCTGCTCAATCTCAATAGAGCAACTCTGTAGGGCTGTAAGTGGCAGAAGTCTGATCTCTTATGGACTTAAGTAGTTTAAGGATTATTTTTCTGCTTAGATGCTCTCCTGCATTTACCTGTAACTTAGTACATAAGTCTGATATTGTCCCTGGTATGTAGAATGACTGAAACAACTGCAGTGTGTTTTCCTGTAATACTGATTATGTGTTTTTCTCCAATGCATTTCCCTCTGAACGGAACTGTTGCTGCTGTGCCTGCTGTCTGGTGCTGCTCATCACCACCAAACCCCTGGAACTTGATTTCTTACGTAAACTATGCATCAAACTGCTCTGTGAAATTGTTACAAAACGGTTTGTATTCAAACATGGCCAACTTGAATTCATCTTCAACTGGGTTCTGCCATGTTTCTCTTGTAAACTACAATAATGATGACACGTTCCCTCAAACTCTTCTCTCTGTTTTGGTTGTTTGGGGTTTTTTTCCTTATTTTTTTACATGTTGGTAATATTGGGGATTTTTTGCATATTCTATCTGTATCTTTTGGGCTCTGTGCTTCCTGGTGTGCTGGATCATGGGTACCACTGCAATGACTGGTCAAATATATTTTTTAATGGAATAAAAACTGCAATATGGCCCTTAAATATAAACCTGTCACAATGGCCAATACCAAATTCCTGAACAATATTCATTTTTGGTCTGGGAATCCTGGTAAAACATTCCTGGTGTATACATTTGGATGGGGTTGAATGGGGGTCAATACCCGTGTTAACACTACTAATGTAATCTTTTTTATGATGCTTGGGTTCAAAAAAGAAATCTTTGGAAATGAGGGAGAAACAAGCTGCCAAAGAAGAGAGACAGAAAGCAAAGAAAATAGAAACGAGTGCAGAAAAATTGCGTAAGCTCTTAAAAGAAGAAAAAAGGTAACTGTTACATTCAGTGTACTGGTTATGTGGCAATTAGTGCAGATGACACTGTGAGCAATCCATCTCAGCAAACAGTAAGCTGGGGAGAACTTCTCCCTGGGTAAGCTGCTTTTCCCTCAGAATGTTTTTATACACAGTGTCCTTTTAGTGCATACAACCTTTAATGGAGGTGTGTGTAGAAGAGAAGTTGTTTAAGGAATACTTTGCAATATTTGCATATTTGCAAAGCGTAATGCCATGTGAAATTGGGAAAGAGGTCTTTCATAACAAAATGTTCAGTGGATTTAATCTTTTGATGAAGAAATGACATTTGAAATTATCTTGCCAGTCAGGCTCAATTTCTGTTCCCACCTTACAGTCCAAGCTGGGGGATGCAGATTTGCTTTGTACGTGTAGTTTTTGCCTGTTACTGAAGGTCATCTCACAAGTTAATTATTTTTTTAGGTTAAAGAAGAAAAGGAAAGTATCGACTTCCTCCTCCTCTTCTTCTTCTTCATCCTCCTCCTCCTCTTCCTCCTCCTCCTCCTCATCATCATCATCCAGCGATTCATCATCAGATGTATCAGCTTCTTCTTCCTCCTCTTCCTCTGATCACAAGAAACATAGGAAAAAGCGTCGGCATAGATCTGAGTCTGCTCGCAGCTCCAAAAAAAGCTCATCTAGAGCTTCTTCCCATTATAAAGATCAGAATAGGAAAGAGGAGTGGTATTCCCCTCCAGCTGATACCTCTGCTTCCTTTCTTAACCAAAGTTTTGAAGTGGAAAAACTGCTGGAAAGGCAGGACAGCGTAGCGTGCTCAAAAATGGAGGTAAAAGAGAAAGACAGACACTGTTCTTTTTCGAGGACTTCAGGTGATGATGAAGACACTTTTGGAGGTAGGTCTGAAGATTCAAGAGATTCTTACAGTAGCTCCAGAAGTCAGCCAAGTCATAGCAAAACTGAAAAATACAGTAAACCAGAGAGATTTTTCTCCAGTTGGAGGGGTCCTTCAGGTTCGTATCATAAATCAGATTATAAACCCAGGATGCATTATTACAGGAGATTTGAAAGGGATGGAGAGTGGAGAAGAGAGCAGTTTAAGAGACATGGCTCAGGTCAAGACAGGTATTACATGTCCCCAGGGTCTGACTATTCTGGCAGATCATGGGGGAGGTACAGGTCATATTCTAGCAGCTGTTCGCATGAAGGTGACAAAGGTTATGATAGTGACAGGCAGCATAAAAATGAAAGTGAGTCTAACAGTAGAAAAAGAAGTTATGAGGAGGCTGATAAAACAAAGGAACCAGATGAAGAAGTGTCATTAAATGGTACAGAACAAGCAGAAAGTAGTAAAAGAAATCTGCCTCAGAACTTAGTTAACATATTCAATCAGATAGCTGAGTTTGAGAGGGAAAAAGGAACTAAGCAGAAGAAGCAGTGAAGTACCTGAGAATACACTACTTGAATGAGTGTAGTTACGTGAACTTTTAACTTAGTATCTTGTGAGGAAATAAATACAAAGTGAAAGGCAGAATTTTTTCTGCCTTTCAGAATGTCAAAGTATTCTAAAAGATCATATGTTGGAAAGAGATGGAAGAATATCTTACATAAAACATCAGTTATTATTTAAAATACAAGTTTCCTGTGCTCTTAATTTGAGGTGTTCCTGTACAATATTCTGTCTGATGGGCTGAAATCCCTTGACACCCCAGGTCATAGTTAGCTGTGCTCACATCAAATACGCACTTTAACAACAGCTGGGCTTGGTTTTCCTTGTCCCTGGGGTACTATTGACTCTAGATATTCTTTTATCAAACTTAACTTCCAGCTATAGAAAAGGGATAACAGAATGAGGTCATGTGCCATCAATGTATATAGCCCATTTGATCATTAAATTTTCTTAATTTTTCTTAAATTTTTGTGTCTGGGTTTTTGTGAATGTTGCTGGGATGTTTCATCCTGGTAGATTGCTACATGTGCTGTCTACTCCATGGAACCCTGCTGTGTCTGTGAAGGCAAGTGTATTGCATGTACTCTAAGAGTAATACAAAAAAAAAAAGAAAAAAAAGCCAAAAACCCAACTTGAAGTAGAAGAGCAAGTTTTAAAACACCATTTATTGTCTAGGTAAGCTCAAGTGTGAACCCTTGGTTTGAGCTTTGGTGGGGATTTGTTTTACAAGCAGGCAGGAGGCAGCAGTTGTGTTGCTGAAGGAAATGTTACATGGTTTACAGGGAGATCTGCAAAGGTGGGTGGCAGAACCACACAATGACAACTGTATTTCAGCTGCAAGTTTTCCAGGTAACTCCATGGATAGAAGTTAGTTGCAAAAATTAAGAAATCTCAACTAGTGTGGCTTTCAAAAAATGACTTAAGACTTCTTGTGTTCAGAAATCCCAGAGATGCTGCCTCTGCTGGCTGGCTGTGAGCCAAGAGCTTCTGCTTCCTCAGGGGCGGGGATAGACAAGGTCAGCTCCACAATTTTGGCTGATGAAGCCTGACTAGAGGCTGAACCTTTCCTTCTGGGAAAAATTCCTCTGGGGAATCTGAAAGACAAAAATTTACTCATTAGGATACAGAAACCCCTGCATCTAAAACAGCTGCCAAGGGTGGCTCACAACAAAGCCACTCAGTAGCCATGTTCATTCCAGGTGAAATCCCCTAAAATACCTCTAGTCACCACCACTAAATGGCTTCAGTAACACCTGGGAATGTTGGATTATAACTGGGTCAGCATGGCACAGGCTCTGTTTGAGCATAGCTTGAACAGAGGAAGAAGGTACCAGTAAAAGCATCAATATCTTCTCTAATTAAGAAGGGGTGTTCACACTAACAAGTGTAAAATGTGGCTCAAAATTGTGCTTATATAACATCAAACCACTTTTTATTTTTTTAGTTAGAGCAAGTAAACAAAAGTAAATATAATTATTCTGTAATTATTGGGTTTTCTAAACTGATGGATGCTGAAGTAGACTTCCTCGTGCTAGAAAAATGTAGTAAAATTAAAGGACAGAGTAAGAAGAAAGTTTTTACAGTCTTCAGCAAAAAAGACAATTGGGATGACCTACAAGAGTAAAGAATTCTTTCACTTAGGGACTAATTTTGCTGGTTTAAACTTGTTCTTAAAAAACTCAAAGCAACCCAAGAGTGTTAGAACTTACCTGGTAGGAGGTCGTGAGCTCTGTGGGGTTTGAGTTTGACTACCATTGGGAGAATCAGCTGTAGGAAGCTCTAAATTGAACTAGAAAATTTGGAAAGAAAAAACAAGTTGACCTGATGGTTGGGATTAATAGGGTAATAAGATTGGGATATCAGCATTTATAGTGCTTGGCATTTGAAGAGATGTAGAAAGCAGATGAATACTTCCCTGTCTTCCCATATTGTGAGCTGTCTTTGAAAGACACTCAATAGGCTGGAGGTCTCACTCAAGATTTTGGTGGCAGTTAACTGGAAAGCTCACCTTGTCAAAGTACATTTGAAAGGCTGCAGTTAAATCGGGATTTGCTTCTAGAACATCAACTATCACTTGGTTGACAATTCTGTTGAAGTCTTTCAGTTCACGAAGATGAATGTCTCTCTCTTCCAGTGTTTTTGTTCCACCTTCCCTCTGAGACTTAATTTCTCTGGACAGTTTGGAGCACTTAACACAAATATTTTGAAAACATTACTCTTAGGGAAATACAACTTTTTCAGAAACCCGCTAAGTTAAAACCAAGGCGTTTAACCCGCAGGGCTTAACCCACACTACTGTCTATCACTATAAAGTTAGAAGTTCCCATCAATAAACACACAAACCTGTTGTATAACCCTCTCTAGTTTTGGCTTCTGTTCTTCAATGTCTTTCTTCAGCTGCAAAATAAGAGCTTGTTTTTCCTTCTTTTGCTCTTTGAAAAGGGCCTGCTGCTTCTGTATTACATCAAACTCTTGTTGCATGCTCTGCAAATTCATTTGAACAGCAATATTAGTTTATATAGCAGGTTTGGTATCTGTTCACTCTTTGTTTTTGTGGAAGGGTCTGTTGTCATTACTATTTGTTTCTAAATGTGACTCAAGCAATTAGTGCTAATGTTAGCTTGGAACTTTCTGCCTGTTTGGTGGATACGGACCTGGACAAAGAAATTTCCAGTTAATTTACATCTCTTTTAAAGGCACTGTTAATGAAGTTACAGGTATGTCTTTTCAGATGTGTCTCATAGTGGCTACGAACTATTTACTTGGCACCCTACCAACTTACCAGTGCAAGCTATCCTAAGAAAACCCAAAAAACCCAACATTGTTTCCTGTGGGAAAAGAGGGATACCTTTGACTGGAATGAATAAAATCAGCTCCTTAAGGGCAGCTGGGTTTTTTAATTAATTAATAAATAACTAACTAACTAACTAACTAACTAAATAAATCTTTAAAAAATTTAAAGTCAGGAATTGGTTTGCTATTACACCTCATTATATCCCAGGACTTACTCCCTGATGAAGATCTGTGTCCCTTTTCTTTACCTTAAGAAGTAACATCTCTGAAGTAAGACCTGTATATGTCCTGTGATGGTAGAATAAGCAATAGGAATGATTGTTGACTGTAGGCAGTGACTCAGGGCTTAGAACAGTTATGTGGAATATCACCATGTGCTTAATAAAATTATAACTGAAATGTCACACATCAGAATTAAGTGTTGCTCTTTCCAAGGTCCAAGAGGCTTTTTGATAACCAAGGGAACCATGAGTGAGTCCTTGCTATGGAGCCTGAAAACACAAGCTCTTGTTTGCCTACATTTAGTCCTCAGCGTGCTAAGTTGCAAGTCAGCTAATTTAACCCTGTTTAACTGAGGCACCCTCAGTTCTAATAAAACTGAATCTGTTCCAGAAAAATCCTAGGATGTAGGTGTCAGAGGTCCCAAGATATGTGGATTTTAACCTGCAGTGCTGGACAGGATGGTACAATAGTGGTGTGTGCTGCACATGACCACAGCTGCTTTAGTGGCTGCCAGAACAGCAGCTGTCAGTGCATGTGGGATTCTGAAACTTCTAGCTGTGTGACACATGAAGTTTTGGTGTGATTCAGGAAAATTCAAATAATCACTTTTTGAAAGAGGATGTAGAGCCTTCTAAAAGTCATATCTTAATAAAAGAACAGAAAAAAAATTGTACCAGAATTTCCTATTATTCATCTAGGATGACTTGCATGGATTTAGCTACATGCTGCAGTCTTACCTGACTGGAACATTACTTGTATTTTACCTGGAGATTTTCCTGAAGTTCCTTGATCTGTCTTTGTTTGTATTTGTATTTTTCATCAGCATCCTTTTTGTCCTTTTCTAGTTTCAATCTTTCCTCAAGTTCCTCACCTGTGATCCCAAACAATGAAGCAGCATTAATGCTGTGCATACAACTCAATTTGCACTTGAAAATAACTGCATCTCAGAATATTACTGCATTGGTGTTGGCAGTACACCAAGGTTTGAGGAGATTTTAAATACTCTCCTACTAACTCCAAATCACTATGAAAAAGTAGCTGACTGCATGAGGGAGAATGATTTAAGAGCTACTGGTTCCAGAGCCAGTAGAGGGCACAAAAGTTAAATAATAAGTATTATTTAGAATTGAGTTCTATTTACTATCTAATTTCTACTTCACATACTTGTCTCAGGGACTGCCTTGAGAGAGTTTTTGTAATGTCTATTCCAGTTTTTAAGTACACACAAACTGTTTTCCATAGCGACGATTTCTTTCTGAGCTTTGCAGATCTTTGCATCCAAATCATCACCTTCTTGTTGAAGTGCTTCCTTTTCCTGTGCAGCCTGAAAGCAAACCAAATATTTTAGGTGACTGTAGACATACTGAAAATATTAAGATAATTTTACAGAAAATATTTATTATACAGCAATATTTCGGGGTTAAAACCACTTGAACTGAGATTTGGGTGCCTAGGGAACTGGAAGGAGGAGTTATTTACTTCAAGAGTATTGAAATTCTCTGAGGTATTTCATCCATGTGCATTTCATTCTGGGTACCTGCCTCAGCTCACTGAGTCCTGCCCAGCAGCATCTACACCTTGCACAGAGCAGTGTCTGTGCCCCACACTGCTGATGTGAACTACAGAACGTGCTTCACCTCTGCTTCCTTCACCCATAAAATCCAAGATTTCAGATTGTACATCATATAACCACTGAGAGACTGATAGAAGCCATCCAATTTGGGAATTAGTCGCTTGTAACTTCTCATTGATCTGACCAGTAGATATAAGAAACAGCCAACAGGTGAAGTATTTTTTATAGCCCCCTGGAAAGTCTGTTACAATGAAAAATCTCCATAGGTGTAGAGGGTATTTTATACAGCCACAGTGACCACATGGCTTCTGCAGAGGGTCTTCTGCTCTCCTGGATCTCACAGCAGCACAAATACCATCATTAAGAAATTTAAAATTTAAGAGTAAGAAAAAGGTGAAGTTCAGAACCAAGCACACAGCTGGAAGTGTGTTGATTTAACAGGAAATTGGAGAGTTTGTGAAGATCAAAATAAACAGATTCTTGTTCAAGAACCAGGCTATTGTACAAAGACTAATTTTTTTTCCCGTGAAAAGCTGAAGTATGCATAGGTGATGGGTAAGTGAAAGGGGAAAGCAG